ATGACAACCTGATCGATCACATAGATTTCGAATAAGGGATTGCCAAGTTTCCTAAACCCTAAACCCTAAACCCTAAACCCTAAGGAGCAACGAATAAACTTGTGAAGCTAGGTTGCAATGCCACTTCCAGCAAGTTCGGCAAACACTCCTTTATGAAGTGTGTGGAAAGTATCAAACTTGTGCATGAACTCCTTCGCGGGCGACTGCGGCACGCGACACAAGACACCTTCTGAAGTCCATGGAGCACATGTCAAGTATGTAGCTCGCCATGCAGCCTGTTCCGTATAATCGTGGGCAGTGTAGCCTTGCTCTCCAGCTCGGCAAAGATGGCAAATTCCACTCGTTGCGAAACCTCAAATATCCCCTTGCGGCAAAAGTGTCTTGTTAAGTTTCCTATGCGAGCTTGTATCGGCCAGTCGCCTTTAAGCCCGAGCAAAGCTACATAGAAGGTTGTTGGCTTGCCTGCAAGATTCACTGTAACACCATTGTAAAATAAATCCACAAGCTCGTCAACAAGTCCCTGCATGATGCCATCGAAGTAGGACCTGTCCTTTTTGTAACACTTCTTGTGGCAAACTGTGTATAAGAATCTCGTAGCATACGAACTTCCAATGTAGTTGAGTGACATTGCCGACTCAGAATCATCCGATGATGCGAGGCCGAAGCCTAAAGGGGATTGCCAGTTCATGACCATAACTGAAGTCTTTTTCAATGTTTGTCCTTCGTCTGCGTGGAGCTGCAATGGCAAAACTTGTGCCATCCGCCCCCGATGATGGCTGAAGACTGCGTGCAGCGGGTCGTGACTTTTCCATCTCCGCCAGAATCTCGGAAGAATTTCAGAATATGACCCGCTGTTTGTAGAGCCCCATAATCGAGAAAGTTGGTTTCTATCAGCTAAAGCTTCAAGAAAGTGTTTCACCGAGAGTGCCGGGTGCGTCTTGTCATTGCCAACATTCAGCTGCTGTATTTCGATAGGACATGACAGGCCAGTCTTTGCAAAAGATCTAGAGGAGCTGCTTTCGTGCTTGGTCCGGGAAACACGGTGTAAATCTTGAAGCAGCACTGTACTTCTAAGATCATCAGCCATGTCCACGTCTGCTTCGCAACATTCTTCGAAGAAGCCAGAAGCGATGCTACACAGGAGTCGGTCAGAGACCTTCAGGGAAATAACCATCGTAAGCTCAGCTACTGGCTGGAACTTCGTATTATATAGGGGTTACGGGCTTACATCCGAAATATTTCCATAAAAAGGTTTGGAACTT